CCAAATAAACTTTTCTAATGGTACTCTTAATTGCAAATAAAAAAAAAGGGTTGACTCGGAAAAACAAGAACCACCCTCAACGGGGATGCAAGATATATCTCTTAATGAAGAAGAGGATATGTCATTAGTTATTGGACAAGATTCAATATCCTCCGAAACATCCAATGATACGTTGAAAAAAAAGTTTGACTCGGAAAAACAAGAACCACCCTCAATGGGGGTGCAAGATATGTCTCTTGATGGAGAAGAGGATATGTCATTAGTTATTGGACAGGACTCAATATCCTCTGAAACATCCAATGATACGTTGAAAAAAAGGGTTGACTCGGAAAAACAAGATCCGCTCTCAATGGGGGTGCAAGATATGTCTCTTGATGGAGAAGAGGATATGTCATTAGTTAGTGGACAGGACTCAATATCCTCTGAAACGCCCAATGATACGTTGTTTAATGTTCCTGACGTTTCTTTAATTGAAAATGAAAAAATGCCACTTGTTGAAGGCGTCACAACTACATTTGCTGATGAGGAAGATGATATGGATATAGACGAAGATTACATTCCTATGTCACCTCAAGTGGACAATAATTTCGATTCGCCGACTAAACACTCAGATGAAGCAGATATGTCACTCGTGGATTCTGTGTATGTAGAGTCAAAAAATAACACTACAGCAATCGATGTCACTTCTGAAGAATTACGTTTCATGAAGGAAGCTATCGAAGAACAAAGTGCTCAAATACAAATATTCGTGGCTGAACGTGATAATCTTATAAAAGAGTTGCGTAATCTCCAGAGTCAATGTACTAAATTACAAAACGAAAAGACGGAGTTGAATAAAGTATGCAAATCTCGCAATTAGATATAAATCTCATGCTATTCATTCTTATCAAAATGATTCTCAATGATCTTAAGGGCATTGATGAAGCTAAACGTCTTGCTCATGAAAATAAATGTTTCACAGAAGAGGATCGGACAAGATATCATGGTATGTTTAGAGACAACACTGTTGAAATTATAGTTTTTTTTGTGATAGACATTTTTAATAATACATTTCAAATATTTTCAAGATCAATATGAAAATCTTGTTGCAACTCATTTATGGCGTCCAGTAAAGCTATCCAACGAATTCGCACACATGATTTATGATGATAGTTTACAAGTGAAAATCAATTTGAGAGCAATTTCTGGTCAGGGAGAAAGCATTAGATCCATTATTGACGTATCGTTAATCGCTAGTGACAACATGAATACCGAAGATAAACAATATGTAATAAAACAATTTATTTTGTATTTTTATTGTTTCATTACATGTTATGACATCCTTTTCTGTTTATGATAGTACCAATTAATGCTTTGCGGAATACATGAATTCATTATTCAGAATATCATTGGACCTATACAGATGGTTGAAGTAAGCGTGGAGCTGGAAAATGAATCCATTATATTTGGGAAACTATAGTAATCTTTTTTATTTAATAGATTTCGAGAATCCTTAAAGACATTGTGTCGTATTGGCAAAAAGTTAAAAAACTATATCGGGAGATATTTGTTCTTAGTTTCAGATTTCCGATCGAACTCATCGCGAGCAATGATGACAATGCGAGGTTGTGCATAAGAGTTCTTTTCTTTCATTATGTAGTTCGGTCAAAATTTTTTGTGAATTTCTTTTTGCGACCCAGAGATGTGTTGTCATACCCCATACTGGAAAATATAGAATGGCGATTAGAGCATTCTTATGGGAATATTGAGTAAGTAAAAAAAAAAAAAAGAAGTTTGTTACTTTACATAATATTTTCTTTTATTAACATTATATCAGCGAACAGGCAATATTTGACACAATCAAAACACAATTTTCACGAGGTGGAATTGGGTGTATAAAGGCAACATGCATTGAAGTAATGCAAACAATTAAAAATTTATAAACTTGGTCGAGTCGATAATTTGATACGGCTAAGCAGGCTATTACCTCAACTAAATCTGTCAATAATATTTCAATTTTACAATTTTGAATTATCTATATACAACCCATGCTTATATCATTATCTTATATCGTGTGATTTAGTTAATGTGTTTGGACTATCGTTATTTGAATTTAGCACTAGTTTCATGAACTTCCAGTAATATCATTCCACAGTATAATCTGATGTTTAATAAACGGTAGGTATATTTGTCTTCTAAGAAAAATTCGGGAACTTGGTCTTTTTTTGATCTTTTTGCATAGTGAAAGTTAACACTTTGTTGAAGCTATAAACAAATTTGTACAGTCGTCCCTCCATATAGTCACCTCCCATATAATCACATCATATGTAATCACATTTATATTTAGGCCAAACTATGATTAAATGTCGGGGATGATGCTGAAATCGGATGATGCTGAAATTCACGTGATCACATGATGATCTTCTGTATAAACA